TATATACACACGCTCTTTATGTAACACATGTATTTATAATGTTTTCCCGTCTTGGTGCAGCCCAAATGAGTTGCACATCATGACAACAAGACTGTACAGCTTTTAAATGTAAAGCATTTCGAATTGACTTGTTGCTGAAAATGTTCTTTACAAATAAAACTGCAAATCACCATGGAGTGATCAGAAGCAACTTTTTAAAAATGTTTAAATGGTTATCTTTATTTTGATTTTTTTTTTTTCAGCAGCTTGATTGACTAATTATTATCTGTGATCTATGGGTGCTGTAAATCCAAAGCAGAAAGACTTTAGGTCTTTTAAAGGATTTGTTTACTGATTACAAGTCATAATCCCTTTGGCATCATTTATTTGTTCTTTCCTTTCTTTGTTTCCTGTTTTGTGTCCTTCCTGCTTCCTTCCTCGTTGCATTTCGTCTTCTCTACTTCCTCGGGCCCTTCCTTCGTTCATACCACCCTGTTACCCTTCCTTTCTTCCTTGGGTTCTGACATTTATTCTCCTGTCATTTCCCATCCTTACCTGTATTCTTTTTCTTATTGCTTCATTGTGCCCTTCCTTCTTTCCTTCTCATCTTTCTCTTCATGTGTCATTTCTTCTTTGTGACTTTACTTCCTTGCTTCTTTGACTCATTTGTTTCTTCAGACGTGACTATCCCTAATTTCTTCCATCCTATTATTCTTTCTATTCTTCCTTGATTTCCTGTACCAAGTCATTCCTTTTTTCTCGTGTAATTTTTTCTTTTCTCCCTTCTGTCTTTGCTTCATTTCTTTTCATTTTATTGGCGCAGAGATCTGGGTCTTTCCTTTTTGTAAATGTATTTTTTTTTCAATTTGTCTATCTTGTGTTCTTCCTTTGTTCCCTTCTTTTCTTCTTCTGTTTTATTCTTTCTTCAGATTCCTGTGTTGTTCCTTCCCATCCTCCCTTATGTCATTCCTTCTTTTCTTTCTTTCCTCCCTGATGTCCTCTCCTTCCTTTCTTTCTCAGAAAATTCTCTACAGAGGAATTTTCTATAAATTCATGTGGTATTTTAAAATGAGCGTTAAGGACTGAATTTGGAAAATTTGGGTTTGGGAAAGTGATCTGTGAAAACAATTTGACACAAAGAAATGTGTACTGTCTTAGTCTATGTTTTAAAAAAATATGTTGCAATTTATTTTTTTACTTTTTTTGAAGAAACTATTGATCTTTTGAGATGAGTTGAGCTAAAACTGATACAATACATTGAAAAATAGTTCAGATTTGTTTCGGATTTTAAACCACATCTCCTTGTTACCTGAAGAAGTTTGTGGTTTACCTTCCTGGAATAAACAGAGTCTTTGGATTTATACAATGATTTTTAGCAAATCACAAGAGATCTGTACAACAGAAACATGTTCACATGTTTCCAGGACAGAAAAAATGCCCAATAGCTCCTTAATTAGTGTCAATTTTGGGACTCCAGTGTGTGACCACGAGTTAACATGAGTACTGATGTTTCTCAAAGCTGCTTCACACTGTGAGACAAATCTATTTTTATTGAAGGCAAACTATCTACTTAAAAACCTAATTTACAAGCAAAGTAATGCTAATTCAGGTGAAACTGAGCAAAATCTCTGTGAAAATTAGACATTTGACACGCAGGCAGTTCTGACAGGTGCGGCAGAGAGATTTCCATGGAGAGGACAAACTGTCTGGAAACGCTGCCTTTTCTCTCCTTTTTTCCTCCTGTTTTTGTTGTTTAGTATGTATGCTGGCACAACAAATTGAAATTCGCCACTGAAAGACGAGGGACAGCTTTATTATTTGTTTCTAGTTTTATGACTTAATGTCATCTTTTAATACATAAATTGTTTTTTTAAATATAGCAATTAGTTCCAGATCCTTACAATTGTGTCGTATTAAATTTATTATGCAGATACTGATATATTTAACTATGTGTCTTTGGATTTGTTTTTTTTTTTTGCTTTGACTTTGACATTTGAAAGCATCTTGTTAAATCCTATTTAAGTTCTTTTAAATGTTTATGTTTAAATGTGACTTTATATATCAGCCAATCAGCTTTGTTATGAGAATGACATCAGGGGTGACGCGCTTCAGCTTTTTTCCTCCTAAAGATTTTAACCAAATATTGTTTTTCTACCCTGGAAGAGATGCATGTACATATTGTTTAACTAAATAGATTCCATATGGATTTTATGTGATAGACAAAGAAGTAGTTCACAATTGCAAAGTGGAAAATCACCATCATTAGTGTGTAGTACATCATATCTACTTTGCCTCTGTTAGTGTAGATTTTCTAGAACTGTCTCTCACTACAAATTCACTTCCATTTTTTTAGCCGTGTCTCTAAAATCTCTGCAGGTCTAGAAACTGGAACTTATGCAAAATTTGCAAAGAAAAAAAAAATTCTTCCTCTTCGTAGCATGATGCTGTCACCACCGTGTTTCACTGTGGGGGTGTTCTCAAAAAACACGGTTTAGCTTTTAAACCAAAAAAGTTTCATTTTGTGCTCTGACCAGAATGTTTTTAGTTAAGTTATACTGTTCAGATTATGGATTGAATGATGCTCTGTTGGATGGTCGAAGCCTTGGATGTTGTTTTATTACTTAACTTTGCTTTAAACGTCTCCACAACTTTATCCCTCACCTGTGTGATGTGTTCCTTTGCATTTTTTTATAGGTTTTTTGTTATACACGTTTTTGTTTGCTTTTCCTCCTACTGCACAATTATGTGCTGTTTTGTGTTGTGCTATCACATAAAATCCCATAAAAGTTTGCAGTTATAATTGTGAAACATTAAGGGAATTTAATACATTTGCTAGATACTATTATTTCCTAATTGGAAAGCGCTTTTAAAGTAAACATTTTGCTGACGCCTTCCACCAACGAAAGAGCTCTGAAGTAATTACAGGATTCAGGTTCTGCACACCGAATGCAGAACTTTCTCATTCAAGCAGCCTCTAAGATGAAATTGGATCTCTGTCATGCATTTGGTCAAGCCCCTAATTCCTGGTGGTTGGTCTCCATCTGCTGAGCTGGTCCAGGGAACAGAGATGGCTGGTTGAGAATAAAGTTCACAGGATAATGTATTCATGAGGAGATCAAAGCCTGGAAGTTCAAGCTCGTTTAACGCTGAAACTTGCGGCTCTAGCCTCTTAAAGACGCTCAGGGACCTGGAGTAGCATAAAAGATGAGATGTTCTCCTACTCTTTATTCAGAATTAGACATTTTCTTTTTCATTCCGGCAAACAAGCATGACAGGTTTTTTTTTGTATTTTTTTAAAAGTCAACAGCATGTATGCTTCATAGTGTGGTAGCAGACTGTGTAAAATGTTGAGACATTAATGGTGCTTGGGGTAGATTGAGCATTTTTATCTAAAACGGCAGGTCCAGCAGCTGCTTTGTTCACAGATGGATGAAAGGAGAAACGTGTTGTTTAAAGGCTGTGAATACTCTTGATCTGTGCTCTCTCTGATCATTGGAGCTTTGTTATTCCCTCTGATGTATACAAAGTGTCTTGCAGAGCTGCCATGTTCCTCATTTCTCAAACCTGATCCAGGGAAGACATTATTAAAACCGCGTCTTGGTTCCCTGTTTTGTGATTACCAAGCAGCAGCCCATTTATTTGAACGTCTCCTCTGGCTGTCCACAAAGTAGCACAACTCCACAATGACGGGCAAAGGGTCGTGGACATTTCCTGCCCTCAGAGGTCATAGATCCGCTGCCCACTTCCCGCATTCTTCTAGGTCAAACATGAGGCTGATCGGGTAGAGTGTCTTTTTAAAATTTCCATTAAGTAATTCTTTATCATTTGGGGTTTTGTAGTTGAACAGAGTGTCAAGGAATATCCGATTACTTATCCTTGACTTCTTGTTTTCCTGAAGAGTAAAGACGATGTTGTCATCAGCTGGGGTTGAGGTTGGTGAGGAGAGACGCAGGCTGAACCCAGGTTGTAGTAAAAATGATGAATTTAATGAAAGCTCAAACAGTCCAATACAGGCGGCACGGCAGAGAGTTTAGCACACAGCTAAATACCGGTAGCAACTGACAAAAAAGACTGAAAAGAGAGCTGAGCTAACCAGGACTTTACAGTTCAACTGGAGAGCAGAGAACGTACGTGCGACGGTAGACGGCAACTCACATAACACAAGGACCCGACAAGAGACAAAGGACACAGGTGAACTTAAATACACTGGGAGGGTGATCAAGGAACGAGACACAGCTGGGATCAATCAACAGGGGACGACAGAGACAGACTCACAGGACAGAAACTGAACACAGAAAAACCTTACAATAAATACACAGAACACAGATCATGACAGGTGTGAGCCTATTTCTTTTTAGCCATCCTTAAAATGGGAAAGATGGGAAAACATTCAAAAGAGGCAAATGTGTGTTAAATTTATAAGCAAAGAAATGGTTGCAGTAACATTTTGTCCTTGATGAGCTTGCCTATATATGGGGTTAGAGCAGTGTTAGAGTTAAGAGTATAAAATCTTCATATATGTCAGGAATATTTTGAGAATAAAGTCAAAATATCTCAAAAATAAAGTCAAAATATTAACAGAATAAAGTCAGAGAATATAGCTGTAAGACACAAAAGTCGTATACAAGAATAAGGTCGTAATAATATAATAATGAATTTATAATATGACTTTATTCTCGTGCGACTTTATTCTCATAACATTCTTGAAATTGTATTATTTTTATTTTCTTAGCTTGACCCTAGCACTCCATTTGACAAACAAGGCAGGACAAACAAAAATGCTGATCTTGCGCACGTCGAGGAAGATATTATGAAAAACAAATTCTCCAAAGCCTTTTGCTAGGGGACTGCAGCATTTTTTAACATTATTTTTTCCCTGTAGGTTTATACTGCTGCAGTTAAACAATCATTTATTCTGGGTCTGTGTGCACATCTGCTCCACCTCAATAAATGTGAAAACAAGCTGATTGCTCTTGAGCGCCTCACGAGCTGTAGTTCATTCAGTGTGTCTGCGTCCTCAGGTACGAGAAGGTCCCCGTGATCCTGGTGGGAAACAAGGTGGACCTGGAAAGCGAGAGGGAGGTGTCGTCCGGCGAAGGCCAGGCCCTGGCAGAGGAGTGGGGCTGCCCCTTCATGGAGACCTCGGCCAAAAGCAAAACCATGGTAGACGAACTGTTTGCAGAAATCGTTCGGCAGATGGACTACGCCGCCCAGCCAGACAAGGATGACCCCTGCTGTTCCTCGTGCAATATACAATAACCCCCCTGGGGGGTCTTTTGACTTACAGGAGACAGACTGGCTCTTAGACACACACACACATGCACACGTCAGCTACATTTAGGACAAATTCACGTTTGAATGCAATTGATATCAGCTCAGCGGAGCATAAAAACTCTCTGACACGATAATTAATAAGGACAGGTGAGTAGCGCATACATCTTGGATGAGAAAAAAACAAAGGATATGCCACAAGAGAATTTGACAAACGATAAAGTGGAACATGCCCTCGCCTTATGTTAGTTTCTTTGTTGTTTGTTTTGATCTGTTCAGGTATTGAGGAGACAGATCCTTGGCAAATAATCACAGCCTGCAGTCTTCACACAGAGATCCATTTCTCTTTTTCCACAACTTGACTCCACATGAATCTAATAAAGCTTTCCTGGAAACCACCCATTTCAGATATTTCAGAGTACTAGAGATGCCATATGTAATTTTTTTTTTCCTCCAGTTTAGTTTGTGCAGTTTTTCTACTCATCACAGGGCTTAAATACAGGGGTGACCTGAAGGCGCCTCCATTTTCTAATACTATTTTTTTTTTCAGTTTATCAAAACAGCATCGGAAAGAGAAATGGTTAAGTCTGTGTCTCTTTTTAAAAACATATGTGGCCATCTCTTCCATTTTCTCACATAGCAGTCTTTCACATATTGTGTGATGTTTTCTTTTCTCCTCTCTGGGAGACTCTGGCAGCAGATTGCTGTGTAGTAATGTAACTAAGTTCTTCATTCTGATGGGACAAAGAGTATTTTCATTCTTTGAATTTCCACCAAAGACTATCACCACACACTTGATTCAAGAATGATTGGCGCTCAAGGTGAAGAAGATGCCAACTTTTCCTTCCCTCCCACCCCCCTCTTCGGCAATCAGTATGAAAAGAAGCACTTGAGAGCTGCCGCATCCTTTCTGTGCTGAGAGGATTCAGACTCATGTTGATGAGTAGTAAAACGAGGAGCTTGACAACAATTACGGTAGTGTAAATATTTTGTATTGACAGTGCCAGCTCAAACAAAGACTCTGACTCAACACATGGATCGTATGCATGGCTAGAAAACAACGATAAAAAAAAAAAAAAACTAAACTAAAAAAAAACAAAGAAAGGACTCTTATTGTTTGAGGTGGATCTAAGGCTGTGGAAATGTGCAAATCAAACGCGTCTGGATCTGGATACTGTTCAAGCTGTACGTTTGTGTTGGACACGGGGAGCAAACATTTCCGCCGTGTGGCCATTTTCATTGTTGATTTTCTATTTTTTTATGTAACCATCTACTCTCTATCCCTCTACAAATGGTGACACTGTTACATTTGACAACTGAACAATAAAAGTGCATTCAACACTCGAGCGGAGCTCTGACGGCCTCTATGTGAAGTAAAATGAAGCGACTGACTGGACGCCTTGCAAAAGTATTTATACCCCTTGAAATCTTTCATATTTACACACACTAGAGCCACAGAGAATAGTGCATAATTGCTAAGTGATAGGAAATTATGGCTGCTTTCCAACTGTTATTAAAATGAAAACCTAAAAGTGTATCATGCATTCACAATCAGCCTCTCTTTGAGGTTGTTCTGGGATAGAGTAAATCTCGTTGACAGTGTTAATGGGGAAATATTTTGAGCATTATATATATATATATATATATATATATATATATATATATATATATATATATATATATATTGGACTACATCTGGCAGACAAGATATTCATTTTCATAACAACCCATAATAGCAGATTGTGCATTTTTATTTATAATTTCTTTTATATTTAAGAAAAACATTACAATGTACTTAGGGTTAAATTGCAGGAATAATCTAAAATTACTCAGACCTTTACAGGTGAACTTAATGTGACCTTCTCTAAACTTCTTTGTACATTATGAAATCTTCAATGTTCCATTTTTGCACAACTTGCTGGATGGAGCTTAATGGCAAAATCCACAACAAATCAAGCAATAAAATCCCTGGTTTGGTCAGATAAAAAAATTAAAAAATTGATGATAAAATGATAAAAATTGTTTTTACCATTTAGAAAGTTCTCATCTTCATGCTTTTCACATTTGGACATCATGAGACCAAGGCAACACCAAACAACTGATCAGCAGCGCCTTGTGGCTTCAAACAGGATGTCCTCAAAACAGAAACAACCACTGAGACATCAGCAGGTTGCAATTGGAGGCAGAATGAAGTCAGAAAGGCACAAAAGTTCACATCCTTTGGCCACGTACCATTGTGAACCTGAGCATCACAAACAGGTCTCTGCGGAACCAGATGATGATCATACAAAGGTGAGTACAATGGTACAAAGGCGAGAGGCACCTAAGTGTCACATTAGACCATTTGAAACCATTTACATCGGTGTCGTATGTGTGCTAGGCAACCAGCAAGGACACCCAACCACCAGGAACAGGTAATCACCTTGCATTGGCCCCTGAGTCTTTTCGCTGGACAGGGTCCCTCTGGGTCTCTGATGAAAGTTGAGTCACACTCAGAAGAAATGATGGCGTCAATGAGAGCGCCATTAGTTGGCCACTGCAGTCACCAGACGAGTCCTTGGTGGTGGTGTAACAGCCTACGCAGGTGTGCCTAGTCGATACGGAAATGATGTATGATGTTACCTGAGTAACATCATACATCCAGTCATTTCCCTCCTACATAAACAGTGCAGGTCTGTTTATGTAGACGTGCATAAACAGTCTACAAATGGAGTAGACTGTTTATGCAGTCTACTCCGCATAAACTTTGGAGAGTACACTGCAAAGTTTGGAGTGGTCTGCACTATCGCCACGTAGAGGCTCGTAACTCTGTACCCCAGAACCTCAATGACCCTCAGCAAACAATAAGGTAAGATGTTTTTTGTTTTTTTGTTTTTTTCAGAAAATGTCACCAGAAAGGAGTGTAAAATGCAATTTGGAGGCAACTGACAATTCTTATTAAAAGTATATTTTTCTATTTCAGCTCTTTTTACTCATTTGATTTTCTCGCAATAAAATAATATAAAAAAGCCTATTTCTAACTTTATCTTTCACTGTGGTACTTTAAACACCCCTATAAGACAGATCTCTCTCACTATCAGGTGAGAGAGGTCTCAGCGGGGATCATTAGGAGCCGCAATCCTTGTGGCATCACTCAGTCCTGCAGGATCGTTTGCACTGGTGGTAGCACATAGACACATAAAGCACAAACACCCCAGGTGGCTAGTGAGGAGGCTTAATGAGAATAAACTACCAGATGTATACAGAGTTCAGCCTAATTGTGCAGTTTCATCTTGTTACATTGCTCCATTCTCCACTCAAGTCCATGCAAAGTTAGAGGCGAGAAAAACTTTCGAGGATCTTGATGCAGTGTCGTGAGATAATTAATTTGCAGAGGGAGGGAGAAAAGCTAAAATCAGCTTAAAAGCAAATCCCTGAGCATCACAGCGTAGGTTTATGAATTAAATTGGTGCTGACTCACTGTTACCTGTTCTCAGCTCTGTAAGCCAGCAGCTTGGAGGCTTAGAGATGCAGCAGTGACAAAACAATCTTTTTGTTATCCTCTACATCACTGTGTCAAATGCCAGGATGAAAAAAGGGTGAGGAGTGCTGCATGAGTCATTATACCCATCTGCCCCCTGGTTGGGGCAGTGTAGTCTCTCCCCCCTCCAAAGATATCTGCGTGGGAGACATGCAGCAAAAACGCAAAACCAAAGGTCACATCCGAAATGTCTGCTTTCTGGCTCCAGGGGCGCACGAGTTCAAGAGACTGCCTTTCCCATGGAGCAGAGGAACACCCTGCAAGCACAGCACTTTTGAGGATAAAAGGAGATTCCAGTGCACACGGCAAACAAAACGAGGGCTTTAAACAGCTTTAATCGCCTCATTGATCTGCAATAAACTCTGAGAAAATTTGGCTTTTGTGTCTGCTCAGGTCAGAAGAATGGTGGAAATCAATACAATGCAGAGTAGAGTGCTATGAAAAAGTATATTTGTTGTTTTGCTTTGTTTTGCAGTCAAATGTTTCAGATTCAGACATTTTAAATTCTGATACCTACAAAATTCATTCATTAAATGACCTGATTAGGTGCAAACCTCGCCACTAAAGCAATGATTGGTGAAGAGTCTTTTACACTCTGGAGGAATTCTACAATTCTCTTTTTTGCAGAAGTGGTTTGATTCTGCCACATAGTCCATGGGGTTTCATGCATGCCCACAGCATCTCAATCAAATTTCTTCAAACTTTGACTAGGCCATTTATGGTGTGATTTGTATCACTGTACTGTAGCATAACCAAAGGATGCTTGATGGCTGGATATTCTCCGTCAAGATTATTTGCAAAGGAGTACAGTTGGCTGTTCCATTACAGCAAATCCTAAGGCAGGAAGACTGCCACAGAGCATCATACTACCACCACCGTGTTTGAATGTAGGTATTATGTTATTTTTCTGGAATGGTGTGTTACCTTTCCGCTGGATGTAGCAGAACATTTTCCCAAAATATTTCAAGTCTTAGGACGAGTTCAAGCCTTTTTCATGTTTTTATTTGAGGATGTCTCTCACTGCGGTTCACAAAGCTCTAGAATAAAAAAGGCTTTATAATCCTTTCCAGACTGATAGACGCCCATGACTTTATTTTTCATCTGTTCTTCAACTTTTCTGTCACAATGGGTACCACACAATATTGTAAGAAATGTTTAACTTTGTTTTGCTCATCTCTACTTTTCATTCTCTCTGCAGGTTCTACTTCCTTGTTGGCTTCGCTTTTCTGTTTGTGGTTTGTTTTGCGGATCTCTGGAGATTTTGTAACTTTTGTTCCCATGTTTGAGGGTATTTTGCTCGTCCTTGTTTACCCCTGTGCTTCCCTTGTGGTAATCATGGTGAATCTATTTATTATGATTATGAGTTTTTTTTAAAAATATTCTTATCAACATTTAAGTCAGTAGATCATATCCAGTTGCCCTGGTTGCCCCAATCTATACCCTCTGATCGTGATGGTAAGGCACCAAGAAGGGTTTTACTGATGTCACTCTGCCTCTGATTGCATTATGTAATCACTGTAAAGTGTTTACTGCTGCATTCCTTTTTCATAAGGGGTAGGAGGGCTTTTGGCTCAGATTTTCCTCCACATCACTCCCTTCTGGGTGCTCCAGATACAGGAATAAAAAGACAGGCGGTGGTAAACTCTTTTTCACGTCCATCACTCACCCACCTTTTCTCTGGCAGAGGAAAGCATCTCCTACGCATTTGCTGGTGTGGGACTGACAGGGGAGAAATCACACTTGGTGTCTTGGCAGCTCCAGAGGCCCTCTGGAGGCTTTTTGTTGGAACTGAGGCAACAATGAGCATGAAACTGAGAAAGCTGCAGAGAGAGAAAGGGGAAAACAGATCAGAGAAATGCTGGTTCCGATTAGTTATGTAAGCAATCAAGATCTAATGCCGAGTCTCTGCTGATTGTATGTTCACTTATGTAATAGAGGATGAGATTAATTTAACTTCACATGGTTCTCAAACGGATTGAAAAAGTCAGAATTTACTGAGGGAACGTTTAGATCAGTGGTTCTTAACCTTTTTTGAGGTACCAAACCCACCAG